GACGAGGACAGTTTTTCCCCTAAAAAGAATCCAAGTGATGTCGCACCTTCGGATCGATTAGAAACGTGTGAATACATACACTATGGCTATACGTTTCACTGTAACTGCCCACAACACAACATCTAAAAACTCTCTCTCTCTCTCTCTCTCTCTCAAAAAAAAAAAAAAAAAAAAAATAGACAAAAAACAAGAAAAAACGCCGACCGAAAAATGTATATCGTTTAAAAGTATACGTAACGACCAGTGTTATTACGGCTCAGGGGTATGACTTCCTCTCAAATTTTGTCATTTGGTGGCGCACTTTCGGCGAGAGTCGGAAATCCGGAAAAAGTCGACCGTTTCAAGATAGGTGGGCGTGGCTACAACACGAGAAATATCCCAAATTTACTTGGATACGAGTAATCATTTTCAGCAAAAAAATCAATAACTACCCTTTTCAGTGGGACACAGATCTAAAAAGGGAAACGTAAGGGTGGGCATTGCACAGGCACTTTAAAGTAGAGACGCAATAGTTCGCAGAATCCATCAACAGCGAGGTGATTTACGGGCATGAAGATTGCAGGGTGGCGCACCACAAACTGTAGACAGCACAGCGCCATCTGCGGCGAAACACGCGACAGTTCAGTTGTCTGCAGTGACTTGCTCTAAGCATGCTGCCACAAAATTTCAATTTATATTTTTTTTAAATTAAAAATCCTATTTCAGTTTCTGTCTGGAAAAAATCTACATCAAGCACTTTCCACTCTTAACAAGTCATTGAAAATGACACAGTCCCCGTTAATTGTTTTAAAGTTCTCTTTGTGCTCGTCATATTAAAGCGGAGGGGTTGTCGCGAGCGTGTCCTTGAAACTTGAGTTCTAAGTGGCGTGTACAACAGATTATTTATTTACATCAAAACACGTGTTCTGTGTAGTAGTCATATGGCCAAAAATAAAAACGGCCGTTATTCGGCCATCTTTGATCTGACACTGATATGTATGATGTATGTGGCAAATACGAATGAAAATGGTACATAAATTGTGGAAATATAGTAGTAAGGTCAAAAAGTCAGATGGCTGTCAATCGGCCATCCTTGACCAGATTTTGAAACAAATTGTCATGGACATGCACCCTAACATGTATAAAGTACATGTATGTGCCAAATTTGAATGAAAACTGACAGAGCACGTCAAAGATGCCGCATAAAAAAACAAAAACAAGATGCCTGCCAGTCGACCATCTTTGATCCAATTGCGAAATAAATCGTCATGGACATGTATCCTAACATGTGTAATCTATGTACCATGTTTGAATGAAAACTGACAAAGCATGTCCAAAATACAACATTTTCAAAAAACAAGATGGCTGCCAGACGGCCATTTTTAATCAAATCGCTAAACCACTGCATGTGCATATGTCCTACATAAAGTACTAGGCACATGCAAAGAATAAACGAAATCGGTCCAAGGGATTCTGAGATGTGACTCCGGTCGCACGAATGGACGGTGACTGAATTATAAGTCCCTGTTTTCGGACTTCTGAACAGGGACTAATAATCATAAGAAATAAACAAAAACGATCTTTTACAGCGAGTCTCAGAAGTATTGGGGCAGTCAATTTGCAAACTTGCTAGCTCTTGCTTTTGACTTAATGTTACCCCGATTTGTAGGAAACTGTTTTTCAACTTTTTAGTTTCAATCAATGTTCAAGATGGCTACCCCATATAAATACAAGTGGATTAATCGCATTCATCATATTATCACATGTACGCCAGCTGACCAGGGAAACTGCTTTTTACATTATCACGCCTCACGTAACAAAGAAAATCATTCAGGGTAATCCAGAAATGTACCAGGCTACGTAAAAGCATTCTATGTCCCCTAATTCAATATAGACTCGCCCAGATTGGACACGAACACAAGTCTGCGGCAAAACCAAAGCAGTTAGCAAATTGACTGCCCCAATATTTCTGAGACTTGCTCTAACCACTGATGGGGGAAACAGCTTGTAACATACACCATATCTAGTTTGTATTTATTTTCACTGTCTGGAAAGAGGTTATGGTCTGGACTTGTATCATATTGTCTTGCATTCCACAGCAGCATAGAAGTAGTCAATTTAAGTTAGTCAACTTTAGTCAATGGTTGTAGTTTGGTGACCCCATGATATTTCCTTTAAACTTATTAAACCAGGTTTTGCAAATCGCAAGAACATGCATGTAAAGGTGGTACATTGCATGCACACACACATATTGTGACCTTTAACCTTGATTACACAAGAAACATGTGCACTAAGTTTGAAGGCAATTGAGTCTTTCCTTTCTCAATACATCACGAACACGCATACATCACTAGCTTGTGCAGGTAAACTCATTGATTAGTTCTGATCTTACTTTCACAAGCAAATTTTTGTGTTTTTACATTTTTATTTCATGAAAGAAAGATGACCAAAAAAAGTTGACAATGGCAGGAAAAGGAGTTAACAGTATTATACATCTCAATTAATTGTCATGCGGGGGCAGTATTTATCTCATAAAACAGAAGTCACTGAATCTCATCACTTTTACAAAAAAATCAGACTACTTTAATACATCTAGCATTATCTATAATTCAATGTACAGTTATTTTGAATACTTTTAAAGCTTTTTTTTTGATAAATTTCATTCATAAATCTTAATTGAGGGAAAACACTGAACGCAAATACAATACTGAATGGGATAACAAATGAACATCAATACTATTTGTACAGACCATGTAACACCACCTGCTCAAGTACAACAATATTTTTATATAAAAAAAACATTTACTTGACACCAAATGATGGAGTCTGTTGGGACTGCAGGTACATTCACAATCTGTACAAAAGCAATGCATTAACTGGAGACGCATACCAGAATTCTGTGTAGCGTTCATTAACTGGAGACGCATACCAGAATTCTGTGTAGTGTTCATTAACTCGCTTATTTACATGATACAAATAGAATGCAGTAATAAAAAAAATACAAATGCAAAAATACCCCCCTCCCCTGAGTGGTCAACAGAACACAAAACCATCACCTTAATATCTCAAAGTACATTAAAACAAAGAATTATACAACTAAGAAATCTATTTTTAAAGCCATGAAGCAATATATGCCCTCTGACACACGATGATACTAAATGTTGTTCAGATAATATTTTGCATGCATTAGTATGAGGAACAATGATTGAGATGAGAATAAATGTCAACCATTCATAGTCTCAAACAATTTCACCAAAGTCTCTAGTAGCGTTGATGTTGGGGGAGGGGGGCTGTTGTCTCTAGTAGCGTTGATGTTGGGGGAGGGGGGCTGTTGTCTCTAGTAGCGTTGATGTTGGGGGAGGGGGGCTGTTGTCTAGTAGCGTTGATGTTGGGGGAGGGGGGCTGTTGTCTCTAGTAGCGTTGATGTTGGGGGAGGGGGGCTGTTGTCTCTAGTAGCGTTGATGTTGGGGGAGGGGGGCTGTTGTCTCTAGTAGCGTTGATGTTGGGGAAGGGGGGCTGTTGTTCAGAGTTTGGGTATTCAGATTTGTTATTTCTTGCAAGTTAACGATTCATATTCCATTCAAAAGTTTCCTTAAAATATACCACCAAGGGAGACATCTCCAATTCACTTTTATCATGCAGCGGTCATTACTTAAATATTTGTGTTCCAAGCCAAGTTTTCATATTGGCAGTGAATTGTATATGAAATATGTCTAGAAGGTTTACACAGCAGTGTCAATTTCATTTCTTGAAAAAAATCACAACTGAATTATATGGCAGTTTAAATATATCAAATCAGAAACATGAAAATAAAAAAATCATATCTTATTATGCAAATGAAATTTAATTAAAAAACCTGACAAAAACTAATTGCAATTATAATGTAGCACCATCATTACATTTGAATAAAACACAGCAAAAAAACTTTGGTACTGAAAATGAGTGAGTCCATATATTTGGGTACAAATGAGGAAAACTTTCACACAAAAAAAAAGGGGGGGGGGGAAGAAACTGGATTGTAACGCTTTGGTTGTGATCTTAGCTTACAAGCTACAGTTGAGGTAGTATGCATGCAACTAAACTTATATTCATATATATCATTGGTTTAAACACAGATTGCATCACAACTGTACTTTTTAAATCAAACAAACGTGAAATACAGTTTGAATATCAAGATATACTGCCAAGCTAAAACGACTTACAAGATATCTCTCAGTGGCTTTTAAAAACCCCATAATCGGGGAAGACTGTATTAAGCCAATCAAATGCTGTGTAACAAACTACAATACAAACATGCCACTACTAAAACATAGCCATGTAGACAAATGCAATACGGTGATTTTTACAATTTCTATGAACACAAATAGTTATGAACTCCAGACATCTGTGACTATGACAGGAGTATAATACACTAATAATGTTAATTTTAATTCAGTCAGGAATATAATATTATTCT